AGCGCGAAGTTGCCAATGAGTCGTTGCTTCACGACGCCAAACTGTGATCAATGTAGCGAGAGACGTGAATTCTTCTCGATAATAGCGAACGAAGGGCTTCTTTTTAGTATCCAGGACGCCTGGCATGCTTTGCATTATTAAAATGGCGGGTAAAGCGCAGAGATATCCAATTTCGATACCAATATCCAATTTTGATACCAATATCCAATATCATCCGGCTCAAAGGACCAATTTTATGTAGGTGTTGGTGAGAATAAAACTCTCTTCACCCTGCGTATGCGGACGCTCTTTATTATACAAAAATGCTTCACCGCCGTTCGCCTTTACTTTCGACCGCTTCTGTGAAATGCGACTGATCACGACGACTGTTATCAGTACAATACGTTTGCCACACACCGACCGCTACAAGCGCCGCACGCAACCGTGTATTACTACGCGCGGTAGCAGAAGACGCACCAATTATCATGAGAGCTCCCTTAAAAATCACTAGAAACAGCGCGCAATACAAGTAGGCGCGCACAGTATTTCTGAAACGTTTTATCGAAATCATTTATGACCCTTTTCACTGAAATATTTTTGAAATATTACAAAACATTTCAGAAAAATATTTCGTACGTAATGTCTAAAATACGTATCATTGAAAGCTTTCCGAAAGATAACTTGGAAAATAATATTGAAATGTAACATTAAAATTATTCAGAAGTATTTCTGAGACGTTTCATCAAAATCATATATTATTGAAACCTTTCCAAAAGATAACTTGGAAATTAATATTAAAATGTAACATTGAAATCATTCAGAAGTATTTCTGAAACGTTTCATCGAAATCATTTATGACCCTTTTCACTCAAATATTTTTGAAATATTACGAAATATTACATGATATTACATTTCAGAGAAATATGCAACGACGCCGCTAAGCGGCGCATAATGGTAAGACTAACTCGTAAGTAAATTTTAGTTGGGATCTAATATAAGCAGGCCTCCGGCGAAGCAAAATCATGGCTATAATCAAGAATATGATTTATGAAGGACAGGAAATTGTTCCGGATCACCCTGTATATGAGAAAAAGTATCTGAAATACTTCCCATATATTTCTTAAACATTTCAGAGATATTTCCGAAGCATTTCAGAGATATTTCTGAAGCATTTCAGAAATATTTCTTAAGCATTTCAGAGATATTTCTGAAGCATTTCTGAATTATTTCAGAAATATTTTTGAAGCATTTTAAAGATATTTCTGAAGCATTTCAGAGATATTTCTTAAGCATTTCAGAGATATTTCTGAAATATTTCAGAAATATTTCAGAAACATTTATGATATCTCATCTAAGCGAACATTTCATATATCTGAAACATATCTAAAACATGTCTGAAATATTTTTTTGAAAGGTTTCATATTTCAGTGCATACCAAAAAGTGCACCTACGCTCACTGATCGAGGAGCTCAATCAGACAACCAGTGAACTCTGTACTATATTAGAATGCTCACTGCAATGTTTAGAGGTCAAGCACGAAGAAAAAAGTGATAAGTTGCTCAGTGTCCAAACAGAGAAAGAAACGGACGTTCAGCAAACTATCTCTTTTTTTCTTTGTGCCCGGTTTCTAAGCATTGCTGTAAGCATATTCCAGTACAGCTATCACAGAAGAAAAGAACATTCTTAAAGAATATATTTATTTTTAACATGTAAATCTTGAAATGAGATTATATAGCGTAAAACAAAGATAAATTACTCGCATCAAAGCATTATATATAGGGTAACTCCGGTATTTACGCCGCGCGAGAATTTACGCCGCAGAAGGAAAGAATAGAAAAAATTCAGAAAAAATAGAAGGAATAAAGATACTTGCTCGCAATCACACTGTTATGTGCCTTTAGGCCATATTAGTATTGTCGTAATTTCAGTTTTTTGTTCTGTTAATATTAACGAAACCGTCATGAGTTGAATCAATTTCTCACCGTACGAAGTTAAGTAGCGCGATCATATATTACGACCTACGTAAAATGATTACTGTAGAGAATGTAAAAAGTTTAATGGTTATTTTATGATACATTAAGTGTAGAAGAATAGTAAAGGATGGAATACAAATGCATAGCTCTTGTATTCTTTGTTTAGTTTGATATTTTGTATATCCCACCTGTTTAGAATATACGGCATTTTTAGCGTGCGGGATTTATACCATAGTACAGACTACAGACACTCCGTAAAATTCAAAATCTCCTGTGTGTTCTTTTTTCTTCTGTTTTTGGATCGTATAACAATAAATTTTAATACATTTATCGTTCTTATATAAATAAATTCATGTTTATATATTTAAATATTACATTAGACGAATATCATCGAACATTTAGTCTATTATAATTTTAAACATGGTCAGATAGCGTCAGACCTGAACAGTTTTCGATCAAACACAACCTCAGTTCGACTTATATCCGGACAGATATGGTCAGATGTAATGTATTTTGGGTCGCATTCAAGTATGGATATGGTTATATCTAACCAGATATACAGTCAGATCTAGGCTAGACTGTTTCAATAAAATTCAATCACAGATATGGTTCGATCTGAGCCGTCAAAGACCAGGGGTGCTTTCCAGCAAGGAACACAGGCGACACTGTGTAACACAGTGTCAGACACAGTGCTTTCCAACAACGACACAGCGAAGCACATCTCGACACAGCATCGGTGTAGAGTTCGACACAGTGTTCGCACAGTGTCGCACAGTGTCGCACTGTGTCACCTTGCTGGAAAACAGCCCAGATTACACCCCATATAGTTATATATAGTTATATATGAACATAGGAGTGATAAAAGTCATAGTAGTGTAAGTCAAATTTTTAAAAATATTGATTCGTGTGAATAGATGCAATTTATATATTACAAATACAAGAAATTTGACTTACACCACTGTGGCTTTTATCCCTCCGTATATAACCAGATTTGCGCAGACATAAGAAATCATATCTATAAGCATATCTGACCAGATACAATTTGATTTGCCGAGACATAATGTGGTCTGGTCAGATCTAATTCTTTTTTCCGAGTTTACTTTCATTGTTGTGTGTGTCATTCGAAAATGAACACCAAAATCATTCCAAGAATACTGCGAAACTATTATTTCGTAGTAATTTTCATTGCGTACGTATAATGTTCTAACTTCTAACAACTCATCTTCAAATGAATCTTCCTAACAATTTCCCATGATTTGTATGTTATCGTCATTGTTGCATTTTCCTGAATAAGTAGAATAATATTTTGTCGATTTATTATTACGTGTTATTATTTCAGAAATATATATAAATTTGTTTTCTAATTTTTTACTTTATATAAACGCTGAATAATACGCCATTAATGATGATGTAACTACATGTAACCCACATAGCACGTAATATCATAGTAATATTACAGCAATATTATTTTTTTATTACAATATTACAATAAAATATAGCAGAAATATTGCAGAAACATTGAGATATCACAGTAATATTTAAATGTCCGCAAAAACAAATCACAGTAATGGTGATTTATTACAGTAATATTACAGTAATATTACTGTAATAAAAAAGGATAAAGAATTTTACTTTATATACCCCAAGGGGCCTTAAAGGGCGTTTTGAAGGGACGTACCCAACCCTAACCTCCACTTCATCCTACTACCTTACTGTTTCCTACTTTCCTACTTTCCTACTTTGGACCAACGGTTTAACGTCTCTTCCGAAAGACGGAGCCCAGTTTTCTCCGCATCTGCACGGAGGGGCGCGGTTTTTTCGGAAAAAAACTTTTCCATGATTCATGGCTCTAGTAGACTCGAACCTGGTTCCTCAGATTACGAGTCTGGCGCTCTACCACTAGACCACACCGCCGCCCTAATAATATTATTGTAATATTTGTGTAATATTTGCGAATTATTTGTGTGATATTTATGTAATATTTATATAATATTGCTAGAAATTAAACCATTTTAATGAATTTTATTAAATTTTATTGAATTGTTATTTTTAATAATATTGTTACATACAATATTAAAATAATATTATATTGTTAACACAATCAATAATATTATTACAAACTAAAAAGTTATAAATCTTGTAATGTATTTGGAGAGGAGCTCGAGTTGGAGCGGGCGCACATAGCCAACGAGATTCAGTTTGGTATGTACCTGCGACATGTAAACATACCCTGCCTAGCCGCGCGCTGTAAGAATAGCCGGTGTCAATAAAAGTGTGTTAACGACTAGTGACTGCGTGCTCTGTCTTCTGCTTTTTCTCGTTTTCCCCATGCAGACATTACAAAACTGGCGACGAGGAACTCAAACATGTGGATAACAAGAGAGATGAAACAGCAAAAGGAATGAAAAACGAGCGAATGGCACAAAGAGGACAGGACGACAAGAAAACAAGCAAAGCAGAGACAACAAGCTGGCTATATAAGCTAACAAAACCGCAATTAATAAAGACAATTAGGCGAAAAGGTCGAGAAGCAAACGATACTATTACAATCGACAGCCTAAGGCAACAACTCTCGAATCACATCAAGGAACAAAATAAGGAGAGAGAAGACGAACCGAAAAATAAAGAGTCGGACGACGAGGTTCAGCAACTGAGAAGGAGAAGCAGCAACAGTAGAATTCCAGAAGAAAGAACAGGTAACGGCGTGACGCAGTCAACAATGGCAAGCAAGCTGATCAAAGTATCGTATCAATTTGGAGAAGACTGGGACGTATTTATCGAGCGACTAGAAATATTATTCAAAATCGAAGGAACGCCAGACGCAAACAAAGTACCCAGTAAGCAAGGAACATTAAATTAACGTTTAGAAATATTGACTTTATGTGTATTTTTTAAACGTTTTTTAATAATATTATACACATATTTGAAAAATATTATTTCGTAATATGATTTTTCTGAATGTTGTTAAAATATTTTAAAAACGTTACAGAAAATATTTTTCAAATGTTACTCTGACATTTATTTGAGATCAATGCAACAGTTCAAAGTTCCTTGTAATTTGGACTTGGAAATAACGTTGGTAGTATATTAATTTTCTGTTGTTAGAATGTTATTGTTTTATATTGTACGCAACGCTCATCGCGACAGCCATGATGCGTACATTTACGTATGTACAATGCGTGAGTGCGTATACACGCGTGTGGATCGAGCAGTGCGGAGTGCTCTTTATTTAGAGTATATTTATATATAAGTAAGTAACTATTATATTCTAAAAGTTGTATATTAATAATAAGAACTCAATTAACCATACGTGTTATGAATAGTAGTTGATATGATTATTTATAACCTATAATTTAGGTTAACTACAAATAACGTTCTTTGGGTATCGGTAGAAGCTATATAGTGGAATTATTTGCTATTTTCTTGCAATTTACTGCCGATTATTTTTAGCTGTTTGAACGCGTCGAGATCATGAGCAGACGCACGCTTGTCGCGACAGCCCATCGGAAGCAGTAATAGTTCTGGAGACTGTAGTCGCATTATCTTACATACGTATGATGCGTGAGTGTGTCATATATACGTACGTTTGTGCTTGTGCTGTCGAGCGCTTTTAATTGTATACAACATTTTTATATGAGTAAGTAATTATTATATTCTAAAACTTGCATATTAATGATAAAAACTTAATTATCTATATGTGCTGTAAATAGGTAGCTGGTGATTCAAGATCTATTTTTTGACCTATATAAGAGAGAGATTTGCAGAAGAAAAGAAATATACCAAAGTATTAAGGATCAAACATATTCTTGATGTATGTACTCGGGCCGCGAGGCTGAGCAATATTCTAAGGAAAGTATTATACAATTGTATCGTTTTATATTGTGCGCAACGCTCATCGCGACAGCCATGATGTACATGATTATCTTACATACGATGCGTGAGTACGTATACACGTGTGTCAATCGAGGAGTGCAGAGTGCTCTTTATTTACAGCATATTTATATATAAGTAATAATTTATATTCTAAAAGTTGTATATTAATGATAAGAATTCAATTAACCATACGTGCTATAATTATTTATTGTGCTATGAATAGTAGCTGGTGATGTAGGATTCATTTTCCAATTTACAAGAGAGATTTACAAAAGAGAGGAAATATCAATTAATTTTTTTATGTTCTAAATAGATTTGTCCTTGGACATTAAAAATATCATCAAGGTTCGTCAATGCTATTATTTCAATGGTACCAAACAGTGTAACTTTCTATAAAATAACCTCAAAATTTGACGAAATATGTAAATGATAACGTATAAAGCTGGTACACTATGCATGAAGACGATTTGTTAAAGTATTGTACGGCTTTAATACATCATTGTTTGCATGTACCACTGTAAGAGTAATTTAGTATAAAATTAGTATAAAGTTGATAGATGTAACAAACGATCAGTACAAACAAGACCAAAACTGACTTTTTATTTATTTTTATATTTTTTCACATATATGTGCTATCACACTCTAAAGTATATAAATATATTATTGTAAGCGTATTTTATATGTACAGGGCAATGAATATGTCTTAACATATGGGATCAATTGTTGTATCAAATTCAAAAAACCACCATTTGAAAAATTTGACCCTGGCTAAGATAAACATCAGTGAACAATATATTATAAGGAAAACTCTGTACAAGATACTAGAAATGCTAAAAGATGATCAAGAAGCTTTTACACAAGTTGTAAGTAAAGCTGCTTATTATAATTAAATTATATATATATTAAATTACAATCTTTTTCTTATCTAAACTATATTGAATTCTTCTTGTTTTAGAGGCTATTAGACAACAATTCTTTGTAATACAGAGAAAGACTTGGAACACTTTATAATGGAATGGCTTAGATTTGCAAACATCCGTAAATAAAGAAAAAAATCTTAAAAGGTAAAAAAGTAACATAATGTACGTATTTATGTCTGTTAAGTTAGCACCCCCCATAAAAAACCGGAATAACACATATGCAGAAATTAAGTGCTCTTCATGCGTTAATTATATGTGCTCTATTCACGATTTTTGTGCTCGAGCGGTTTTGTGGGAAATTGCAATTGAAACTGGGGGTGCTGGCTTAACGTAAGCTAGCACCCCCACTCATTAAAATTACATATAAAATAAAAAACTCATTATGCTAGAATTATGTGCTTTTTATGTGCTTTCAAATGCCTCAAACAAAATTAGTCTATCTGTAATAGTTTAAAAAATATACGCAAAAAAAGATCTATATACTATACTGATATAAGAGTAAAGTATCAGTTAAAATACAGAAAGCGTAATAATTTTTGTCTTAAAATGTTTCTTGATTAATGTGTTCTCGAAATATGCACAATGAAATTTTTGTGCTTATCCCCTTTGACCGACTTGAACGTGAACACCCCATACGTGCAAAAGTAAAGTACCAGTTAAAATACAGGTAGCAAATTGGTTTTGGTCTTAAAATATTCCTCAATTTATGTGCTCCCGAAATATGCACAATGATTTTAAAAGCATAAAAATCACATTAATTTTTTTTGTCAATGTAATTTTTTGATACAAATTTTTTTAATAAACATAATTATATATGTAATATCTAAATATTCTATTACCATATTCTTTTGTACATCATAAAACAAATATATCTTTCAAGTATTAGTCGCGCAATTGTAGCGTGAACTGCACTATCATTCATGTAACATTATCATAAAAAACAATACACAAGAGATTCTATATAAATACAAATTAAAGTTTACTAAAGAGTAACCAATTTTGAAAATTATATTTTGTTTCTATTATTAGAAAGGGAATGTTAAAAATTAGTTAAACATATGTTTACTTATATGTATTTATATATTGTTCAGAATCTCAGTGAAAAATTCTCCATAATATTTAGCAACTTTGCAATACTTACTCATAACTCATATTAAATAACTTTAAAAATGTATACAAATACATATATTTAATTTTATAAATATTAATATAATTATATTACTTATATACAAAATTATATTTTACTTGTATACCTCAATTCTTCCTATCTATTCCTGCATGCACTTCTTCCATCTACTCTCTATCAAATATTTGATACTGATAATTATCCCACGTTTTGCTAACAATTTTACATATATAACAATATTTATGTAAAAAATACAACATTTAAAAATTTTTCTGAAATCTTATTAAACAAGTTAATCAATACATTAACCAAAACAAAAATCTTATTCTGTTTATTTTAAAAACACATAAATTGAGGAACATTTTAAGACTAAAACCAATTCGCTATCTATATTTTAACTGGTACTTTACTCTTGTACGTATGGGGTGCTCACGTTTTGGTCGGCCGAAGGGAATGAGCACAGAAATCTCATTGTGCATATTTTGAAAGCACATAAATTGAGGAATATTTTAAGACTAAAACCAATTCTATCTGTATTTTAACTGGTACTTTACTCTTGTACGTATGGGGTGTTCACGTTTGGGTCGGTCGAAAAGGATGAGCACAGAAATCTCATTGTACATATTTTGAAAGCACATAAATTGAGGAATATTTTAAGACTAAAACCAATTCGCTATCTGTATTTTAACTGGTACTTTACTCTTGTACGTATGGGGTGTTCACGTTCAAGTTGGTCAAAGGGGATAAGCACGAAAATTTCATTGTGCATATTTCGAGAACACATTAATCAAGAAACATTTTAAGACAAGAATTATATTGCTTTCTGTATTTTAACTGATACTTTACTCTTATATCAGTATAGTATATAGATCTTTTTTTGCGTATATTTTTTAAACTATTACAGATAGACTAATTTTGTTTGAGGCATTTGAAAGCACATAAAAGCACATAATTCTAGCATAATGAGTTTTTTATTTTATATGTAATTTTAATGAGTAGGGGTGCTAGCTTACGTTAAGCCAGCATCTCCACTTTCAATTGCAATTTCCCTAGAAACCGTTCAAGCACAAAAATCGTGAATAGAATAATTAGCACATAAAGAGCATTTAATTTCTACATATGTGTTATTCTGCTTTTTGCGGAGGGGGAGGGGTGCTAACTTAACAGACATAATATATTTTGATACATAGACTAAATCACTGAAGATGTTACTAATATTTCTGAAGTTGAATGAGAAATTCTTATTTTTCAGCAACTGTTTGGTAAAGATCCGGAAAGATTAATAATCTGTTTAAAAGGAAAGAATAAGAGTTTGGAAAAAAATGGTAAAAGAGTTATATTAAACTAAAGCATCTGTATCGCATTGCCTAAAGAAGAGTTAGAAGGCACCTTAATTTCCCTTATCCGAAGGCTGACTTCAAAAATCCCTTCCTAGGATTCCTTCCTAGGATCAATACTTTCTCAGGTAATTGGCAGAGATAATTTGCAGAAATAATTGGCACACGAAATAAATCTCATAATAAAACCTATATATGTATATGTATATGTATATATTTGTTCATATAAATAAAACTACTTTTTTATGGTAATTAGTGTAGTGCATTTTATTGAAAATAAATACATACTCCCTGAAATGAAAATAAAATATCAATAATAACTTTAAATAAATGTTAGAATTAATATTACGGTAATCTTAATATAATATTGTAATAAAGTTGATAGTTTGTTTAAATTTTTATCTCAAAAACATTACAGGAATGATAGAAAAACCTTAGCAAAATGTTATTTGCAACGTTATGGCACTTCCATTTCAACATTACTGAAATTTCGGAATCATGGTCAAAGTATATTCATAATGATGTTCTATACAACATTAAGAACTACATATTTAACAACATTACAAGTTCTAGAATATCGTTGCAATAACATTGTAATAATGATTTTTTGCTTACTGGGTAATAAACTTATTGACAAAAGTGGACGAAGGAACTTATGTGCTAGTGAGAGACTTATACCATCCAGGAAACCCAAAGGACAAGCCTTACAATGAGTTAATAAAATTGATTAAGAAACATTTGAGCCCGAAGCCGTCTGAGTCGATGGAGTGATGTAAATTTCAATGAGCTACGTAAGCACAAACAGAAACAGTAGCTGAGTTCATAGCAAGGCTAAAGAAAATGAGTGTACACTGCAACAACCTAGATACGGCGCTGAGAGACCAGTTAGTAGTAGGTTTGAAAGACGCGCAAACAAGGACGGAACTATTCAAGGAGACGCCGTTCGATTTGAAAAAAGCAACTTAGATCATAGTGGCCTTAGAAAGAGCTAAGAAAAACGCCATGACAACGGGAAGGAAGACGGAGGAGACTGAAGCGGTCCACTTCATAAACGGAAAGTCGGGGTATTCTAAAAGGCAGCAGTGGGTACAATCAACCGAAGCGAGGGAACGGCGGACGAGAGATAAACCGAGACCATCCACATCGGAAAACTCGAGAAACCCAGAAGTCAGCCCGGCTCGGAAAAATCAAAGGCCAATAACATGCTACTGTTGTGACGAAACCAATCACTTTGCAAGATATTGTAGCGTCAGAAACAGCAGGTGCTCTAAGTGCGGTCGTAGAGGACACCTGGCCAAAGCTTATCGAAGCCTAGAGGGACAGAAACGACCGATTAAGTACCTAAAGGAAACGGGAACCGAAGAAGAAGAAAGCAGTGGAGAAACTAACGAACGAGACAATTTCCTAATGATGGACGCGGTGGATGAGGCACAGCATGAAGTCAAGAAGGAGAAGGGACAAGGAAAAATGTTCAAGCTTATTCAGAATACCGAAAGGACAGCCTCAATGTTCCTGGAGATGGAAATCAATTGCAAGACAATGTCGCTGGAAATATACACAGGAACGTATGTCACGGTCATGTCAGAAGTCACAAGAAAGTCATTAGTCCCTGACCTGAGCGTGGAGCCAACGCGACGGCTGACGGCGGCCGTTCTGAAGGATTACATAGACACCCCTCTGGTGCCCGTGGGAATGTTACAAGGACTACGAGTGAAGCTGAACCAAGGTCCTGAACTGTTTCGTGATGCCAGGATCGAAAAAACCTCTGATAGGTCGACAATGGTTAGCGGCTCTAGGAGAATGATCGTTGAAAAGACAATTGGAAGCGGAGCAAGAATCAATGAAAAATTGCCACACTCTAAAGCCGATCGACTGGCATAAAAAATTTAGCAAAGAATTTAAGAAACTGTTCAGACCCGACTAGGGCCTATATATCAAAGGAAAGATAAAGATCACGTTGAAAGAAGGGGCCATACCGAGATTGTTGAAACCGAGGCACGTACCGTACGCAATCAGAGACAAAGTATACGAAGAGTTGCGACGTTTGGAAAACAAAGGTCATCTGGAGAAAGTAGAGGTTAGTGAGTGGGGCACTCCGATTGTGCCTATTGTCAAAGACAATGAGAGAATTCGAATTCTATGGTAATTTTAATGAGGAGATGAGAAGAGAGGTCGCAGGATGGAGAGGTGAAAAGGCGGAGAAAGCTGCAGCAGAAGAAAGGAAGGCGTTGAAAGGGGTTAAAGGCGGAGAAGAAGAGAGGAGAATAGTATGGGACAGACGGGAGATGATCGAAAGATGGGTGGAGGAGGAGGCAAGAAGAAGAGTAAGGGCGGCGGGGGCGAGAGGGGGGTTGACCTGGGGAAGAAACAGAGATGGAGAGAGATGGAAGAGGTGGAGAGGGTAGAAGGTAAGAGAAAAGGGGGAGGGACGCAGAAGGAGGCAGAGAGAAGAGAGAGCAAAGAGAGTGAGAAGACAAGGAGGCTAAAAGAGAGAGTAAAGAGGTTGGAGGAGGAGAGGGAGCAAAAAAAGAGAAGGAAGAGGAATGTGGTTTAGAGGGAGTTGGATGGGAGGGACGCAGAAGAAAGGAGGGGTTTGATAGAAAGGGTGCGGAGAAGGTGCTGGGCAAGGTACCAAAGATCAGAAAGGTTTGGGAAAGGAGAGGGGCGGGAGGGAGGGAGGTGTTGATTGTGGAGATGGAGGATGAGAAAGAGAGAGCGGAGCTGTTAGGGAGGTATACAAAATTTAGACAGAGGTGGGGGATAGGAGTAGACAAGAACCTGTCCATGGAGGAGAGAAAAGCGAGGTGGAGGTTGCTGGAGAAGGCAAAGGAGGAGAGAGAAAGGGGTAGAAGAACAAGGGTGAAAAACAGGAAAATTTGGGTGGAAAGAAAGGAGATTGTGTGTGTGTGTGTGTGGAATGAGGATGAAGGGAAATGGGAGGAGAAATAAGGGTAGGGAGGGCTGGGTAGGGTAGGGGGTCGAGAGGGGAGAGAAGGGAAGGAAGAAAGCAAGGAAGGGAGGAAGGAAAAAAGAATTTAAAAGGCCGCAAGGGTGAGGTCGGGGCAAGAAGGAGCTTTGTAAAGGGTTGGGTACGTCCTTGAAAAACGCCACGTGTTTATGCGGATAAGTCTGTGCTAAATGTGATGTTAATTTTTATGTATCCGGATAAGAGAGGAGTTGGCTAATTTGTAAAGGTTTGGGACCGTTCCTTGAAAAACGCCTTTCAAACCTTGCGGGGATAAGAAATAAAGCACTACACTACATACATATAAAATCTTTAAATTACGCCAACTACAAAGAGAATATATATATAGCTTTGAAAAATAATTTTAGTGCAACTACTCTTAAAAAATAAAACAAAATTGTATTACCTAACTTAACCCAAGTGGTATGTATTTTTGTATTCCTAAGGGTCTTTCTATCAACCCAAGTGATAGTAGTTTTAATTCTCCTTGATAAAATTATAATATTACAAAGAATCATTTTAATCACAAAAAATTAAAAAAGTAACATTATAAAATAAAAATATTTAATTAAAATAAAATAAATAAATTTTTTTTGGAAAAAACTTGGCGCTGCTTTTTTAAGGTGTATCTAGACAAACTTCCACATAAGTGCATAAGCATATGCATAAAGAGATGGATTGGTCTATTTTCTTTTGCACCCACAACTAATTCCGACACCAAAAGATTGGGCGCCAGGTGCGACGGATCGCACCACCGTACATTAATATGTCTGACGCGATATTCCCGGCAATACTTCAGGGCGTAGGGCTCTTTCAGGGAATTCGGAGAGAAGCGTTACGCAATCAATCACACACACGAGAATAATTAATAATAACAGATAATATATTTAGTCAGGTAATATCAAGATGTAGGTATAATCGATCCGAGTCTCTCGTATCACCGCAACAATGTAGGCTAGGCGGACGCACGAATGCCGCAGACGCAATAAGTGCACGCGGTAATGTCGACTATTACACTGTAGACTAATGCACGCAAAGTTAACGCAACAGCTAAACGCAGACGGACACACGAAAGCTTAACAGAAATAATGACGATTCAGGTATCGCGGTACCTGGCTTCGACTCACACCGAACTCACGCCACGAGGCCGACGAACCGACTCGCCGCACCTTCGGTTGCTCCTTCAACGCGCACCCGGGCCACCTCGATTCCGCACGACGCAAAAATTATGGGCAATCTCGCCGAGTCGACCACGCTGGCCGGCGATTGCCCCCGAACACGAAATAAGGACTTGTATCGCGGACGATCCCGCGGCTTGCCACGCGAATCCCGAATTCTCTCGCAAGCACGGAGATTCCGCGGCCCCGCACCGATCCCGTCGATCTTTTCGTCCCGCCAAACACAATATTCGCTGTCCTCGAGGGCCCGGATACGGTACTCAAATACGAGGGCGAGTGCCCTTCAAATTACATGACCACTCGCGGCTCGCCGTTACCCGCACAACTCGCTCCCGTTATCGCCACGCAAGGCATCACTCTCAATAATATAGCCAAGACGCGACACGATTACGAACATAAATAATATGGCCGAGACGCGACACGATGACGAACATAAACTCTAACAGAACGAAACGCAACACGATTGCGAATATGAACACACTGAAACGCGACACGATTATTTCCATTCACGCAACGAGACGATATACAGTTCGACCCGATTAATCCGATTCACACATCTCAACGCCACGCGACTGTCGGCCGTGGCGGTGCTCGCGGGAAGGGCACATATGGTCTCTACGCACTAGAGAGCTCACTCTCGGCAAGGCCCTAGCACGATTTCCACCCGACTCTACTTTAATGCGAGCGCAAGGTGTTGCACGCTCTGACCTCGCTCTGTCCACAGGTATCCTGCGGCGCTCCGGTAACCGACACGTGCCACGGGCCGATGCCTCGAGCGAACCCTCTTTTCTTAACGCGGGGACGCCAGAGTGGTGACCTTACAATTCGTCGTCGTCCCTTCGGTAGTCCGGGCAGCACCGGATCCGGGAGATGCTTCCTGCTCTTTAGCCGGCACGACAGTGACGGAAACGATAGCCTGCCGGGATCGCGCCGGTTCCCGCGCCTGCGCTGTAGCGTGTCGCTCGGCCGGGTTGCCGATCCTAGCGCTTCCTGCGCCTAGGCCGCACGTGCGCCGCTCCTTCCGGGGGCGCCACTCCAAT